CCACGAGATTCAGCATAGTCGATAACCTATGTTTTCATTCATTTTTGATAGTCCCAAACCTAACGGCAGAGGAGTGCTAAGGCTTCAGGAAAAACGTCCATAGTTCCCGAACCATGGATTTTCAAGATGTCGCTTAGATTCAGTTTGTAGAGGACACTTTAGACTATATATCTATGAAAAAAACTCATACGTTTCTATGTCAGTTTTCAGAGAACCGGACTGGTTTTCCAAAGATCCTCTGGAAAATCGGCTTCGAAAATTTTTCAGAAATCCGTTTTTGCTTATGGAAAGATAACTTCAAGTCTTGGTCATCGAACGGCGAAAATCGCGAGTCTTGATCTTGTGTTCCCTTCGAGTTATTCAAAAAATAATGACCGGCCCCGCTTTTTGGAACGGATAGTAGCTATGTTAAAGAAAAAGGTGAATTTTAAGAGAACAAAGAGACTGACAGTCGGATAATGTTAGCATTGTATAACCTAATAACGCGAAAAAGATCTCATTCAAGTTTAGTTTTTCGAAATTTTCACTCATACAGTACAATATCACGGATCTTGACCGGTATCCTGTACGCTCACGTGTCACGAGGAGAGATCTATTCCACGACAGAAAAATAAGATTAAAATACTAAATAGATATTTGATCATACGCTTAAACTGAACAGTCAGCATCTATTCTCTTGATATCAGTTCTTCTACTATCAAATATTAGCAGACATGGTTATTCTTATATATTTTCAAATAGAAATTATTGAAGTTTCAAAACAAATTCACTTTTTATTTTATGAAATTCAGTTTCAAAATCACCAGTAAGCTTTGGAAATAAATTTCTTCCAAAAAGAGTTCTAAGAAAATATTTTGCGTTAAGATAGCTAGCTTTCTGTCTGTTCGTAAACACATAAATGATCATCTCTATAAGATCAAGTAATCGTTGTATCAATGCATAAATGATATCCACCAGATTTATCACATTTTTGTCCTGTCGCACAATGAACATCCTTTTGACAAATGCAGTTACTTTCAAGAGCACAATGTTTTCTATAGTACGGAAATGGAATGTTGGACTTGAATAGTCGTCGAAGAAGATTATTATCAAACAGACCTTTTGGATCATACTTCTGTTTTTTCTCATAAAATTTCTTTAAACCGGAATGAACCCCTTGCGTAAAAAAGGCTGGACCATTTTTACCCCAATGTGGTCGCGCATTATATTTTTTTCTTAACATTTGGGAAATTTTTTCATAACCAGCTAATACAAACTCTGTATCTATATTACGATGTTTACGAATGAACAGAACAAATTCAAATGCAACATAGTTGACATTAGCATTATCACCAGATAATGTTAACAAACCATCCGAATGTTTTAAATATCGAAATAATGTACCTAGAGGAAAACATAAATGACCATAATCATTAAGTATTTGAGCAATGTCTTTTGTAACTGCACCCAGTCGTTCTACCGTTATAATAAAACTATAGTCTGCTGTGAAAAAAGGTGTTGATGTTGTATTCCAGGCACAATATGTACATTTTGCATTTAACATATTATGGGAATAACCTGTAGCCGGATTTCTTAATAATCCATAACCAGTCATATTATTAATTACCGTTGGATTAATCATAGTATATAGTGGTACTTGTGTTTCGGAAACAGTGTTTATTCTAGATAATGCCAGTTGTGACTCTATTGCGCATAGTACAGAATTATTTGATGTTGCTTGAATTTGTTCGAAAATAGCACCTTGTGTGAGAATTTGTCGAGCATTTACATCTGTTATTAAATTCCATTTATCATTATCTTTTATTGCTGAGTAATTTGTCAAATAAGTACCAGTTGTTNATGATTAATTTTGCTGAATGTAACCAAACAAAATAAAATAAATCATGCTTTTTAGCCATTTTTGTTACAGAATTATCAAATAAACGCTCTTCAGATAATTGTGATGAAAAAACTTTAACTTTGTATTGTTTTACGACACGTATATCGCATTCTAAAATAACACCTAATGCCCCTAAATGAGTCTTGAATGCTTTTAGATCATCTTTATTTGAAATATATTGAATTCTTAATGGTAATTGACCAGTGATCACTTTTATACGAACCAATAAATCAGCTGGCACGGAACGCTTTAGCGATGAGCCATGTGCACCTAAAAGGACCGAAGAAAGAGCACTTGATCATTCTGTATTGTTAAAAAAGATTTACCTGTCCCTAATAGTCCTCCTACAGTAATACCCCCATAAGAGGGCATATTTTCTATTGCATAACCATCATTATCTAACAGTTCTAGAAATGTTGAAAGTGCCATTCCAGCACCAACAGTGACTATGGAATTTTTTTTATTCAACTTATAATTTTGAAAATTTGTTAATGATATTGCGATACCATTTGTACATAGAATATCCGTTATACTATGATGATGAGATGTTAAAACTTTAATATGTCGACTTTGATTGACAGCTGTCAATACTACATCTAACACTTGTTGGTCGGTTGATGGTGTTACCAGACCTTTTTTAGCAGTACAAACTACATTGTGAGAATAACTTTGATATTTGTAAACACCTGCAAAACATTTCCATGTTAACGAGAGATAAACGATAAATTTAAGAATGTGCATGTTTATATTTCGCCTCAAACTAAACTGGTGTGCAAAGATAGACGATAATCACGTATTGGTATAGTAACGGCGTGACTCAAATGATAATAAAAATACACGTGATTTCTTGAAGGCCATCATACACATATCCATCGCAGGTGTAAATTGTTGCTGATAAAAACAAAAAACCTTGTATCCTTGCCATAATCTTTTCAACCGTAACGGAGACACCTGAACGATGTCCATTTTAGCCTTAAAAAGATGAATCCGATGCTATCATTCATGTACTAGCCCCGCAACTACTAATGTAAACCGATCAGATAACAAATATTATTTGCTTATCAATTTTAGCTTAAATCAATTTAAAAACAAGAAGATATGTATAAGATACCCGTAAGGGACACTTGCAGTAAAAACTATATTTCGTTTATTTATACACCGTTCGATAGAGAATTCAATGGAGAACACGAATATCGCTACTCCGACTGGCCAAACCGTTTGGGCGCCGAGATCTCCTCAAAATTCTGAGAGGCAGTCAAAAACCCCAAAACTGCTCTTTTACGAAAAAGCTCTGTAGTTTAGCCCCCTAAGGTCATAGAGCTTTGCAACTGGGACATTCAGATTCAGGGTTGAAAACTGAAGCTAGCTATGTAGCACAAACTGGACAATAAAAACCGATTTTCAATCCTGTTGTATAAATCTTGAATGAGTAATAAATAGTCCAGCTAATATATATATAGAGAAGCTTGAAATGTAATTCCAGAATTCAGCAATATACTGGGTTGCAGCGTAATTAAGTTCGCTCCAATCGATTGTACTAGTGCTGGGTGACCAATAACCGCTGTTCGTGTCGAGTTTGGATTCAAAATGTATAACATCAGATGGGTGGGCATGACCAACTAAAACAAGTCTTCACGGTAATGCTGTTCGCGAATGTCACGGACGGTTTCTTTGAGAAGATAAGTTTGATCTCATCTGAAATTGCACGTGTGTATGAAATATCATCGAAATTTTCTGGCAAATGTTATTGTTCAGCTAAATATCGTGTGATTAACGCCATAGGTACTTATGACAAATAGCGGTAATTCGATTCGCTAAAGTGAATCGACAAGATGAACGCTGCTTGTACGGTTAATAGGTATTGGACGAATCGAGTGAGCACTCGGTGTACGAGCGCGCTTGTTGCTCGAGCGACTGACTTACGAATAGCGCTCGCATATCATTCCTAATTTAAGTAAATTTTCTATAGTTTTTCTCTATAGAATAAAATGCGCTCAAGGGTGAGCGCGCTCATGTTTTCTACGCTCGAGCGCTCGATTCGTCCCATACCTATAAGAGAATCAATTTTAGTGAAAGGCGTATTTTTGTTAAAATAATTTGGTCGTTTGTGTGTGCTGTAGTTCGATAGTTCAGTTCTTACAAGTCATTTTTGACTTAAAGAGACAAACATACGAGACGTTAGCAGTACTAACGTGTGCTAACTTAGCACAGGTAATCAAATCCCAGAAAGGGTGGAGGATACAGATCTGTGAGTAACTGGTTGACTTTTCCGTAGGTCGAACGGCGAATCAATATTTGACTCCAACCAAAAAATGGCAGTGCCGTACAATTGAGCCTTCATTCGAATTTTTTAAGAATTTGACGCTCAAACAAAACCCACAAACTGACCATGGCGTCAAAATAAACTCTCTTGACTTCCCAAACACGAAAAAAGATCATGAAGCGGGCGCTGCATCTAGATTAAAAGGTACATTTATCTAGCTTCAGCTAGCTGCACAGAAATACATGAAAATTTTATCTAGCTTCAGCTAGATTGAAACTAGTTTCAATTGGGTACAACTAGTTGCTATCGATTAATCGGGCAATTCATTACTCGATTAATTGGCCCATGCAGTGGCCGTTTCAGCTAGTACACAATTTCAACCAGCATGCAGCTAGATAAATGTACCTTTTAATCTAGTTAATCTAGCTGTAAGTGGGCGCTGCAACTACTTCTGCA